GCTGACTCGGCGACTCGGCACAAATAGCACTAACATTTAACCTTATTTGTGACGACCAGGTTGGTAATTCAAGCACCTCGGAGCTAAAGGTTACCTTACTGCAATGCGGCCACCATGACTGATCAGGCTCACTCTGCAGCTGCAACCTCAGCCCGTCAGCCCGTCAGACCTGCTTGATTTGGCGTCGCTTCTTCCTGCAGACACGACATGGTACGCTATTCGGGCCAGATTTCGACACCTCCATGACCTGTACTCCCCTCAGCCCTAGCCACACTGGGACTTTGGAGCAGAGATTCCGCTGTCCAAATGGGTGCCAAGACCGTATCCCCAGGCAATGGGTATCGCCATCTCGGAAAAGGACCGGCCATCTGCAGATTGTCCATCATGTCAATTGGTGGCCCAGCTACCCGATGGCGTCGACAAGGTTACCGTTTTGGGCTGGTGGCTCCAGAGCGAGACACTTCAGGAGGCAGAGAGACATGGAATAATACGGCAGAAAAAATAGAACCCCTTGTTTGTCCCCATCCATCCATCCCATCGGGCGGCCTAGGTACTTACCTACCATGCTACGATTTGGAGGGCTTCTTAAACAAGGACTGCCTGCCCACATCTCTCTCAATATGTGTCCTGTTACCCCTTCCGCGGCATGTGCCTTGAAGCTTCGAACTTAGCCGTTCGAATCTCATCATTATCGTTCGCGCTTGCTGCATGAATCCGCTTTGAACCAAAGGGACGGAGCGAAAAGCACGAGCTGCCGAGACTTGCCTGACTTCTGACTTCAGCTGAAGTTGGATTTGTCCACTTCGCCGGTCGTCACTTTCCGAACCGAGTTGCACGCACACCAAGGAATGCCATCCATCCCTACCAAGCTCCAAATAGCTATCCGTACCTACGTCAGGGCCTAAGACACACAGCTATCTCCTTAGCCTTCCTCTAGGAACGTCTCCACTTATGCAGCTCTGGCTTCGTCTTCATCAGCTTTCACGTTTCACCACTTTTATCAACAAGTTGCAACTCTGCCGGTGCGGTGTGATCCGGGCAACCCTGACAGACATACACTGACACATCTTCAGAGTAACTGTTAGCATCACACCCACATGACCACATAAGCAGATCAATCACTTCGGCGAGCTAGTCGTTGTCCGGCCCTGGAGGCATTCTAATGGGCAGGATTTCTGTTCGACTAATTCAATTCTTGATTTGAGGGCATCCGAGTGACTGCTGGCCATATTGTGGAGTAGGAGCCTTTGACCTCAACTCAAGATGGCCCTCCTCGTCCCAGCCATCGGTCTGTCCCGACCTGTCCGACTGGCGGTATTCGCTGCTGTCGTCGTCTGCCTGGTCCTCTGGTGGCCTCTCTCGGGGACCCGCGGTTTCATCAACCTGATCAGAACCAAGCCGGATTTCAGAGCACAGCGAGCTGTTCTGAGATATGTCAATCCACTAATCGGAACTACCAACGGAGGTGAGTAAGGTTGCTTGATGCACTTGATACTATACAGCTGACCCAACCTCAGGCCATGTGTTTCCTGGCGCATCATTGCCATACGGTAAGTGATACAGCGCCTTTGGTCAAGATCAAGACACATACCTGTTCCTGACGTTTACGTTAGGAATGGCCAAAGCCTGTGCAGACACGGACTCTAGAGCCGAGAATGCGGCTGGCTGGGTATCTGACAACTCCAAAATCACCGGCTTCTCTCATTTACATGACTCTGGTAAGTTGTCACAATATCTCTTTATCTTATTTCGGTGCTGACGAATCTGAACAGGAACCGGAGGTGTAGGTGTCCCCAAGTCCATAAGTCCAACTCCACGCTCTTTTGCTAAAAAATACTACAGTCGCCTTCTCTAGGCAACTTCCCTCTGTTCCCTCATCCGGGATGCCCCAATGATGATTATCTCGCCTGCAACTTTACAACAGAATCACGGAGCCTTTGGCGTGTAAATGACTCCGTTGTAGCCCGTCCGGGCTACTTTGCTGTCAATATTTCCAACACTGTCGGCGCAGAGATGACGGCTGGGGAGCGCACAACTCTCTTCCGCTTCAACTTCTCGCCAAACGATACCGTATCTTACGAAAACGTAGCTGACCTCAACACGGTTGAAGTTGTGAGCAGCCCGTTGATTCTCATTGACCTCACGGACATTGCTCAGAGCAGGTCGAGTGGAGGCATTCAAGTGTACGAGTCTGGCCGCGTCGTTGGCGACGGCACCTTCAGGCCCTCTTTCGGTCAAGGTAGCTACAGGGCCTTCTTCTGCGCCGACTTTCGGGGCGCTCCTATACGAAAATCCGGCGTTTTCGAGGGGGACAACCCGCGCGTGACAGACAAATATCTAGCGGAGTTCACGCGTGGCATTCACAACCCAACTGGTGCCGCTGGCGCGTGGCTGCAATTTGAGCGTCCTACGAACAACCAGATCCTTGCCAGAGTCGGCCTTTCTTTTATCTCTGTCAACAAAGCTTGCGAGAATGCCGAGAGAGATATCCCCAAATTCGACTTTGACGGTACTGTACGTGCTGCGGAAACGACTTGGGCCGACAAGCTCTCAGCGGTGGATGTCAGCACGGAAGGCGTCAGTGAAGACATGAAGACCGTATTCTGGTCGGGTCTCTATCGAAGCCTGCTGTCACCGCAAAACTACACTGGCGAAAACCCGTTATGGGAGTCGTCCGAACCGTACTTTGACTCGTTCTACTGCATCTGGGACTCGTTCCGAGCACAGCATCCACTCCTGACCATCATAGACCCAGAAGCTCAAACGCAAATGGTACGAACATTGCTGGATATCTTCAGATTTGTTGGGAAACTTCCGGACTGCAGAATGTCTTTCTGCAAAGGGTTTAGCCAAGGAGGTTCAAACGCGGATATCGTGATTGCAGATGCATACTTGAAGAACATGACCAACGGGGTTGACTGGAAGACCGCATACGAGGCTGTGGTTTCTGATGCAGAAGGTATGTAATTGGAACTCGCATAGCGAAGCAGCCTCTAACATGGGTTTGCAGTGGCACCTCAGCACTATGGCGTCGAAGGCCGCGGCAATCTACAAAGCTGGTTTGGTTTGGGATATATCGCACAGGATCACATGGACAAAGTGTCGACCGGTCCACATAGCAGGTCTATCTCACGGACTGTCGAGTACGCGTACGACGACTTTTGCATTGCCGAGATGGCCCAGGGACTCGGCCACAAGGAAGACTTTGAGAAATATATGCAGCGCAGCGCCAACTGGCAGAACCTCTGGAACCCGGCCCAAGAGGACATCATTCAAGACAAGGACAAAAAGGAGGTTGAGAGGACGAAGTACACGGGTTTCCTGATGCCGAAGTTGATGAATGGCTCGTTTACGTACCAGAACACGCGTATTTGTTCGCCCAATACCGAGCAGCATCTCTGCTACTTCGACACTGCCCAGGCGACATACGAGGGCTCACCATGGCTGTACTCGTTCTTCGCACCGCAGGATATGGCAACCTTGATCAAGCTCATGGGAGGCCGGGATGCGTTTGTCGACAGGCTCGAATACTACCACAGCGGCAATATCGTCTACATGGGCAACGAACAGGCGTTCCTTACAGTATTCCAATTCCATTATGCGGGTAGACCCGGCCTCAGCTCCCGCACCACACGGAGCTACATCCCTTCGCAATTCAACGCCACGATCAACGGCATCCCTGGTAATGATGACTGCGCAATGGGGGCGTTCAGCGCGCTTGCTATGATGGGGTTCTTCCCCGTCGCGGGGCAAGACGTGTACCTCGTCATCCCACCTTTCTTCCCTGAGGTACGGCTTAAGAGCCGGGGGGCTAAGCCCGCTGTTATCCGAAAGGTCGCAAAGGATGACAAAGAACTTGCCGAGGGTATCTACATTCAGAGCGCTACTCTGGACGGAAAACCATACACGAAGAATTGGATAAACCACGACTTCTTCTACCACGGCGGTGTACTGGAGCTCACCGTCGGCTCGGAGGAGAGTGACTGGGGCACTAAGGAGGAAGATGTGCCTCCCAGCTATGCAGCGACACCAAAGACAATAGCGCCAACTCGAACCCAAGTTTGATTGTGCTTGAAGGTGTACAAACAAAACAACAGCGTCAATAGCGTCATGTATATCATGGCATGACTGTCTCCAGTAATTATATAGAATTGTACAGAGTGATTGCACCCACAAATGCCTTGATTCAAAGTATCATTTTCTGCTCGGCAAAAATGAAGGCTACGCCGACGGCAACAGCTCCCCTGCTGCCGAAACGACATCGGAGGGACCCAGCTCACATTTGAAATTTGGCGGCGGTGATTGGACGGTTGCAGCTCTGTGCCCCAGACGTTAAACTCTTTGCAGCGTCGGACGGTTACTCGACTTGCTTGGAGTCACTCGGCTTCTCCCGGCCATTGCTACGCAGGTACCTTTCAGCTGTAAAAAGAGCATCCAAGGATACCAAAAGTCTACCTGATATTGAAGCTGCAGATAGCTGCGTCGCAGAAGTACTGACCGAGTCCAAACACCACGACCGGTTTCTCTCGGCTATCACCACCCACAGAAGCCAGGGCCCGAGCTGGTGGGCGGCAGTACAAGCATTTTGACCACCCCTCGCATTACGTATTAGAGACGGGGGAGAGAAACGAAGCTCATCAAAGACTTCCCCAGTCTCTATTGAAAAGGATCCGCCGCCTTTTTCTCTAATTCTCCATATCCCACTAGATTTTGAATCGCACCACTGCCAATTGACGAACCACAAGGTGACTTGACAAAGTGGTACAGACGGCACGTAGAGGAAGAAGACACCAATTGCGCCCGCGACACTAGCTTTCCTCGGCTTCCCTTCTCAAAGCGCACGAGGGAACGGAGCAAACCTACGCCCACGCCGACTTGGACGTTCCTTGCGGTAGTCCGGTTCACTAGAAAGGGACAAACTTCTACCCCATCTTACGACACGGTCACGTACAGCATACACGCACACACGCGCGCGCATACACATCTTTCACATAACCAAGATGAACACCTCGGCATCACCTCTCGCGAGGAGTCTTCAGCGCAGCACGCGCAACCTCTCAAGGTGTCGATTCCGGACTACACGTCCCGCCCAAGCAGGACTTGCCACTACCGCTACCACCACCACCACCACCACCAGCTCAACAACCACTTCAAGAACGACGACCGGGAGGTTACCTTCTACACGGGGCTCTGCCGGTGTCACGATCTTCAGGCCTCTCGGCGCACGCACTTTCACGACGAGTAGGACACGACGAAGCAATGAGGACGACGAATTCGATCCGGCAACGATTGAGCGTGAATCAGATGAGGTCGATGTTGTCATTGTAGGCGGTGGTACGGAACCAGTCTGCCCCTTGCACCCTCTTGCAATCTATCCTGTGTGTAGATCCTCAATAGGCTGACAATGTCCTCAACACCCCAGGCCCCGCCGGTCTCAGCGCCGCGATCCGACTCAAGCAGCTCGCCAACGAAGCCGGCAACGAAGACTTTCGCGTCCTCCTCCTCGAAAAGGCCGGCGAGATGGGCGCCCACATCCTCTCGGGCGCCGTCATCCAACCCACGGCCATTGACGAGCTCATCCCGGACTGGCTGTCCGAGGACAACCCGGACCGCTTCGAGTACGCCACGCCCGCCGGCGGCGACCGCATGCGCTTCCTTACAAAGTCCGCTGCGATCCCCCTCCCGACCCCGCCGCAGATGCACAACGACGGGAACTACATCGTCTCGCTCAACCAGTTTACAAAGTGGCTGGGCGACCGCGCCGAGGAGCTCGGCGTCGAGGTGTACCCCGGTTTCGCCGCTTCCGAGGTTCTTTACAACGAGGTCGACGGCAGCGTAAAGGGCGTCGCCACCAACGATCTCGGCATGGGCCGCGACGGGAAGCCCAAGGACGCGTTTGAGCGCGGCATGGAGTTCCACGCGCGCTGCACGCTGTTTGCAGAGGGATGCCACGGCAGCCTGAGCAAGCAGGTCATTAAGAAATTCGACCTGCGCCGCGACAGCCAGCACCAGACGTACGCGCTGGGTATCAAGGAGGTGTGGGAGGTGCAGCCGGAAAAGTTCCAAAAGGGGTCCATCACGCACTCCATGGGCTACCCGCTATCCAAAGACCTCTACGGCGGCGGCTGGATGTATCATTTCGGCGACAATCTTGTGAGTATCGGCCTCGTCGTTGCGCTCGACTACGAGAACCCCTGGGTCTCGCCCTACGGCGAGTTCCAGAAGATGAAGCACCACCCCATGTACAAGGAGGTCCTCGAGGGCGGCAAATGCCTCACGTACGGTGCGCGCGCGTTGATTGAGGGCGGGTTCCAGTCTATCCCTAAATGCGCGTTCCCCGGTGGCGCGTTGATTGGCGACTCGGCCGGCTTCGTGAACCTGCCCAAGATCAAGGGCACGCACAATGCCATGAAGTCGGGCATGCTCGCCGCCGAGGCCGCCTTCAGCGCACTCTCTTCCAGCAGTGCGGCAGCCGAGGAGGCAGAGGGAGAAGAAGCCGAGGAGAAGCCGCGCGACACGGTCTTCTTGTACGACTACGAAGACAAACTCCGCAACTCGTCCATCTGGAAAGAACTCAAAGAAGTGCGCAACTTCCGTCCCTCATTCCACACCCCGCTCGGCTTATACGGCGGTATCGCCTACTCCGGTCTCGAAGCGTATGTCCTGAAGGGCCGCGTGCCCTGGACGCTGAAGCACAAGACGCCGGACCACGCGGCGACGGGCAGCGCAGACAAGTTCCAGAAAATCGAGTACGCGAAACCCGACGGCAAGATCTCGTTTGATATCCTCACGAGCGTGAGCCGCACGGGCACGAACCACGAGGAGGACCAGCCGGTGCACCTGCAGGTGAAAGACTGGGAGAAGCACACGCGGGAGACGTGGCCCAAGTTCAAGGGCGTCGAGAACCGGTTCTGTCCGGCGGGTGTGTATGAGTATGTTGAGGATGATACCAAGGAGCTTGGGGTGCGGTTCCAGATTAACGCGCAAAAGTGAGTTTTCCCTCATTGCCCCCCTTATTGCCCTGCTACCGCGAAGGGAAACGATTTTGACTAACGACATTTTATTTACAGCTGCATCCACTGCAAGACATGCGACATCAAGGCGCCAAATCAGGATATTAACTGGCAGGTTCCGCAGGGCGGCGAGGGACCCAAGTACTACATGTCATGAGATCACTTTTTATATATCCCCTCAGCATCATGGCTGGAGTATCTTACGAGAGAGGTCTTGTCTTTTATCCCATCCAATTCGAACTTCCAAGGCTGCTGCCATATACTTCATCAGATTAGACGAAACACGTGGGATATTTATACGATATCGCCCAAGGCGGAAGTACGAAAACGGCCAAAGGAAATATGCAAGGGATCAACGATCTGGCTTTAAACACATAGAGGCCCCGAGTTGAATACCACAGTGTCAATAGATTGTTTACCAGGATAGAGAGTAGTTGCACGGTGTATTCATAGTCAGAGTACTCGTCACAGTGAGTAAAGGGCAGAATTTCATGACAAAGGAAAAACTTGGAGGTTTGCCATGTGATTGCGCAGAGACCATTTATCAATCGAAGAGGCAACAACAATAGCAACCAGCAGCGCAATTGACTACCTTAATCGGTCCGCATCGGCAAGAAGAAAAACGTAAGCAGCGATACCCTTACTCGCCCAGTATATGAATGACGGCACACGGTTTCCCATCTTGGCTTTGCCCGGCTTGGGAGTGTGTGTGTGCGTGTGTGTATGTGTGCCAGTGTATGGCATATCAGACGAATGCCCAACACTTTTCCAGCCTGCATGACGGAGAAGTTCTGGAAGGACAGAGGCCGAAGTCAAGGGGCCCCGACTGTTGCGACGTCGTTCGGGCTCGTGATTGACAATGGTATGGATCGGATAAGATCAATCTGAGGGAGAAGCGGAAAGGTGGAGGGAGAGGAGGGGGCCAATGCTGAATCAAGTCGACACACACCGCGAATGAGTCCCTGCAGGAATAGCATTATCCTCGTGCCAAAATCGCGACTGCACGAAGTGGCTCTCGATCGGGGGTAGACCCCGACTCGGGCGGAATGCGGAAATGGGGGGGAAACTACATCGGAGACAACCAAGGGTGCGATGCGACTTGCGAGACACTTGTGGTTCCTGGACTCCATGCGTTAGGCGAGGCTGGAACGGGAGCTTACAACACTACGAAAAGTACGGGACACATTGCAAGATGCAAGATGTGAAGAATGCGGGCTCAGACCGTCTCAGTGGCTGGAGTGCAGCTTCGAGTTGGACAAGCGTACTTTGATCTCGTCGGATCGCGTAGGTTGCGTGCCAGCTCATTGAGTCGTGTAGCTCTTTGGGTTTGTTTGGTTTCTTAGGTTAGTTAGGAACTCAAGGTAGTTGCTGCCGCTGCTCAAAGCGAGGAGAATAGGCAGTGCGACGGGCAGCCAAACCTTGGGCGTCGCGATGGAGGCAGAAATAAGACAGACACAGTGTGACAGAGTCTCAAAAGAGTGTGGTGCCAAGTGGAAGCGAGGGTGAGCCACCTCCATGTTCCAACGAGGCTGTCGGACTTTTGGGAGTTTGAAGTTTGAAGTTGCATGAGTCGCAGTGCAGATGGAGCTTTGGCAGGGCCCGCAAGGCCGAGATGCGGCCTTAAAACCGTATAGAAAAGCACACCTGGCGAGCAGCAAGCAGCAGCTGCAAGCACGAGGTCGGGTGTGAAAAAAGGAAAAAACTTGGCCTGAGGTTTTGGTGCAATGGGGCTCGCACATGCATGAGTCGCGAGGGCAAAGCCGAAGACGTGGACAAAGTACCTCGACTTTGGAATGGATCCAGAGGTACTTCTGAGCGCACGGACCACTGTCCCGGTCTCGCAAGAGACCTGGTACCCGATACCTTGTTGTAAGATTGCAATAAAATTTGCATCTGTAATATTGCTACAAGCGCCCTTACTCTGCATCCATGGCGAAGCAACGCCCAGCCATGCTTGGGCTAGAGCGAAGTCAAGCGGACGAGGAAGGGCGAGCTGAGCTCAAGAGGTGTCGTGTGTATGGGCGAACTTACACAATGTGTAAATGTGTTTGGGAAAAGGCAAGCCGCAAAAGGGCCTTGGTGGATGTCGACAGAGTTTTTCATCGGGCCAAAGTTCGGGTTCCAGAGAGAGAGAGAGAGGCAGATACTCCCCAGTGATGGACCGCGGCGTGGCAAGGCTCGCGTACCCAGTACTTTACGCGCCAGTCTCGTTGCGGGGACCTGGGGGGAGAAAGAAGTGGGACGCGAGCGACAAACACGCACCATTGATCAGACTGGCAGACCCAGCCCTTTTTCCCCTTCTTGCCCCCTCCCCCCTTGCACTGGCCGATTGGAGCCGGTCTGAAGTCAATGACTCACACGTCGCGAGCCGTCTGTTTGCTGCCACGGCCCATAGATTCCTGCCAACAGACCGCGAATGCCCGAAAGCAGTGCATACGCCATGAAAAATAGGTGCCGTTTTCGCGTTCCTGCCCGTGGTCATGACGGTCCCTTTTTGTTCCTTGTTGTTCGGTCCCCGCGTTTGTGTCGTGTCCTCGCGTCCGGGCCATGCCGACAACGTGGTCTGGTGACCCTTCTGACAGGTTTGACGGCGAGGCCGTTCGCTCATGTTGCTGATTCTTACCGCTGCCGCCGCTTTGCACTGACAAAGCTCGTGTCAGAGGTGATCGTCAGTGAGGCCATCAAAGTAGGGGGCAGGCTCAGCGTTTCAGAGCGCTAGCGTGTGGTTGGAGACTGAGGTGGGAGGGTTAGAAGAGGGAAAGAAAACCCTCGGGTTGCTGGGACGAGAGGATGAAAAAAATCATAAAAAGGGGGGGGAGAGGGGGCAGGTCAGAAAGGGGTGAGGATGGAAGGGGGGGCCCAGTCGGTATCAATCCAGACCAACACACCCCAGTGGTTGGACTTCTGGAGTCGTGGGTGTACTGCAGCTGCCAAAGAGACTGACGCGGCGCTGAGGAGCCTTGTTGGAGCCTGCCTGGCCTGCTTGCTAGGCTTGCCTGGACGGATGGGATAGGTATCCGTACGAACTATCCGTATATTGCGTAGCTGCCAGGCAACCTAGGTGGTGAGATGGACAGACAAGAATGGCAGGCCGCAGACTGGGAAGGAGGAAGAAGCGAGCGGAATGGCGGAATGGGTCGGCAGGTCGTGGGTTACGGGTAGCGCTTGTGGTAGCGGCACCCGTACGAGGTAGCGCCGCCAGTGGGATTTTGCATTTGGTTGGTGTCCAGATGGTCTCGACACGGCCCACGGCCTATTACCCGGCTGGATTTTGGCGGGTTTTGGGCTGAGCTGTCGCGGGACGCCGTGCGGTATCCGTAGTCCGTACTCCGGTACGGTATGAGCAAACGAAGACACGCCATTCGTTCCGATTCCTCTGTTTGAGCGCAGGGCTGGAGCGAATGAAATTGTCGTCATTCTCCTGTCAGATGTGGTTGGGTTGACCGTGATGTCAGTCTTGTTGCTGCTGCTGGGAGCTGACCCGTCGCGTCTTTAGGCCGTGGCAAGAGGTGATGGAAAGAGTGTTGCATTCTGACAAGTGTGTGAAAGCCGTGTCCGTGGTAGGGAAATGGTAGGACAAGGTCGCAGTTTGTCCACAGGTCCGAAATGAAAGCGAGGAAGAAAAAGAGCTTGCGATCGCAGTGGATGATCAAGCCGGGTTGCGTTGACGGAAGAACGAGGGAGGACCGACTGAAAAAAGTGTGGCCATCAGGGATGGGCCAGGAAGGTAAGCGAGTCGAGTCACAGCTGACAGGGGGGGCAACGATAAAAAAGAAAAAAAGAAAGGGAAAATAGAAAAAATAGAGGCTCCGGGGCAACATGGAGAGAGCGCGAGAGAGAGAGAAAAAAAAAAAAAAAAAAAAAAGAGGATGGCAGACGATGATGACATAGGATCCATCAGGGAGGGAATCTCAGCCTCTGGTGGTGAAGGGAACCTGGCAAGAATCCAAGAACGGGCCAGTGGCAGGTTGGCAGCTGTAAGAAGGGCGCGCGCCAGAGGCAAGTGAGAGAGGCAAAGCAACGCAAGGAGAGGCAAGAGAAAGGGTAAGAAAAGAAGGGTAAGCACTGGCCAGAATGCATTGTCGCAAAAAGAAGAGACTTGGAGGGGGAGAAAATCAATGGATTTCACAATGCAAAGTAGAGAGACCTTGGACGCGGTGCTGCGATACTTCAGGGGCTGGGGTGGTCACAGCAGGGGTACTTGGGGACAGGTAGGAGATAAAATGAGGATTTTCTGGTGTTTTGATTGGGTGCATGTCCTTAGCGTGGCCGCTAAGCACAAGCAATGTCAAGCAGGACCAACCGCCACGGCGCACTGGCTGCCTGGGGCCCCTGGGTTGTGTGGCAGGGGGGTGTCGTTGGGGCGACTGCTCAGGTAGGCCATGGCCAAAATTATAAAGAGGCAGGCCTCCCTCCAACCCGCTTGTTTCGAAATTCTTGCGCGGAAGCTCCGACCGACGGCCTTGCGTAGTCATCCACTCACGTTCGGCCTTTCTAATTTTCCTTCTCCACCCCCACTCAATCCATCCCCAAACCTCCAATCACGATTAGAGATACGATTTCGCATCGTCCTTGTCGTCATCGTCATCGCAACATCACCAGACCGATAGACACATCTGCTGTCATCAACCTACACACACATACACACACACACACTACTTCCTCGCGATCCTTCTGGACAACAAGTTCGCTGTTGCGACTCTGTTTCCAAATATCGGAAGTCTACCTATTAACCAACCGACGAACCTGTCAACCCTCAGAAACCCAAGTGGAATATCTTCTTAACTGAAAGAGTCCCCCGGATCTCGTACTCTGAGACGAGAAAAGAACTGGAATACGTTCCTTTCGAGACATCACTTCGTCAAACTTCCCGCGCGAACCCCTTCCGACGACACACCAGGTCGAGAACGAGTCCGTTGCACTCTGTAGACATTGCACGCACCGTCGCCGAATAGAGACACCGTGCTTTGAACCGTGACGAGGTATCCAGAGACGTCGAGTTGATTGCTGGTATCTGGGTCATTCGCGACATCACCGAAGCGACGCCTACGAAACCCACGACCTTCTCGTCGACCTACCTCACTTGATCCATTTGCATCCCGTTCCCGCCGCTGTCACAAGCTCGGCACTGATCGCAAAACAAAAGTCGCATCGCAAGATATACGCGCATTCCCACCTACCTACTGTTTAGCAGGCACTGTAGGGGAGACATTTATTTGTTCATCTCCAACAACTGGTATGCTCTCCTTCCTCTTCCTTCCTCTTCTGTCGTGGTTGGCGTACCTTCCCCATATGCCTACCCATCCCCTCCGTGCCTTCCTACCTACCCCAGATGCGTGGAGTGGCTGGCGCCTGTGATTGGCCCCTTGACCTTCCACGTATAAATATCACTATGTCTTTCACCTCACCAACACTCCCCATCAACACAAAATCGACACGCATGACCCACTATACATCGTTACATTATTACTTCACCGTCGCAGACTTGGAGCAGCGCTTCATACTCTATCACTACTACAATCGCATTTGACACAAGATACTAATACGCGAGGTCTCAGATCTGCTCTTCTCTCCGGTCTCGGGTCATCATCCATCAACCGCAATCATGGAGGCGATTCAAACTCATCCCACGAGCGCAGCGCAGGCCAAGGCCTTCACCGCGCCTGGTTCCCTCTCGTTCCCCGGCGGCGCTCACGAGCTTCCTCCCCAGGCGAACGGTGATAAGGCTGCCGTCAACGGACAGATTCCTGTGCCCAACGGTCAGCAACCTGCAAACGGTACCGGGGTGACACCCGCGACACCTGCTGCGACGCCGGCCGCGACACAGGGTGGAAGTGGCTTGACTCCTACGTTGCAGTATGTATTCTATGAGTGATCTTTTTTCTGGTCAATGAGGCTTATCTCGCCTACTCAAGGAACATCGTTGCCACGGTAAACTTGGATTGCCGCCTGGACCTCAAGACGATTGCCCTGCACGCGAGAAACGCAGAGTACAACCCCAAGGTAAGACATATCGATCGATCTGTGGCTCAAGTCAATCTGTCGCTAATGATGAACTACTAGCGTTTCGCTGCCGTCATCATGCGTATCCGTGAGCCCAAGACCACCGCCCTGATCTTCGCTTCTGGCAAGATGGTCGTCACCGGTGCTAAGTCTGAGGATGACTCGAAGCTTGCGTCTCGCAAGTATGCTCGTATCATCCAGAAGCTCGGATTTAACGCCAAGTTCACGGACTTTAAGATCCAGAACATTGTCGGCTCCTGTGATATCAAGTTCCCCATTCGCTTGGAGGGTCTTGCCTCGCGCCATCACAACTTCAGTTCTTATGAGCCCGAGCTGTTCCCTGGTCTTATCTACCGCATGATCAAGCCCAAGATTGTGCTTCTTATCTTCGTCAGCGGCAAGATCGTCCTCACTGGTGCCAAAGTGCGAGAGGAGATTTACCAGGCCTTCGAGATGATCTATCCCGTGCTTCAGGGTATGTCTCTTTACGGTCACTTCAGTATTCAATTGCTAACCCTTTCCCAGATTTCCGCAAGGTCTAAACAGACCCTTGAACAATAGGATAGGTCATCAACCCAGTCGATGTACTACTACCACACACGAAACTACCGACTTTGTACGACTAGACAACCCTTTTTCACGATACCACGAATCCTTTTTCGCACACAACCCAAAAAAAATCGAGCGTCCGTCATCTGGCAACATGGCCATGACACAAGTCACCGACGCCCGTTCTGCTTACTTGATTTATTTCCGCTGCATTGCATTGGCGTTGGTACAGGAGGTAACCTAGGCCGGAAGTTTCCGGTCAGGTGGTTGATTGAAACGAAAAGAATAAGATTTCTCATTCCGCGGCACTACATAGACTGCTCGTGGCACCGTCGACGGCAGATGCGCTGGTCGACCTTGCCGTTCTTTAATGGACTCGACTTAGATGCATTGGGGGTTCAGACCGGATGGGGGATGAAATACGGCGATGGGACGGAGTTGAAGTTGCTTCCTGGACAGTAGGTCTGGAGGGACTGCTGGTGGATGTGGGAAACCGGTTTTGCAATAAACATGCCAGTCTGCAGGTGACACGACCGATCACTCTAGTCTTACTCTGCGATTAGTCTGCAAGTTTGATTCGAGTTGACAAGACGGCATTTATTTTTAGTTTAATGCCAAAACCCGGTTTCTATGAAACTACATGACTCCTCAGTGATAATGATCTGTGACCTATCAACTGTTCCGCTCAAGTTGTTAACCGGTTATCACATGCCATAATGTACTGAAGACGCTTGCCTGTCTGTTACTACACTGATTCACAATTGTCTCGATACTTGCATCATTATTCGTGGCCCTCGACGAATACTTGATGACATTACATTTTCAACAACTCTATCTCTACGGTTGCTACATGGTATTTACATTCAGCATGTACCTACGTCAATATGATTTTGAATACGAATGCACGGAGAGTGTCGCACGTCTACAACTTAGCTTGCTCCTGCTTCAGCAAGAGGCCAGGGATACCCCCTCGGCTCCCGTCCTCCGTCATGATGTGCTCGTACAGATCCGTCACGTCCGCCTTGCTCTTGACCTCCCTCCACCGCCACTTTTCGGTAAACACCTCGTCGCCGCAGCCCTCGAGCACGTTTACGATTTCGCGGCCGAGGACCGGCAAGAACTTGAAGCCGTGGCCGCTGCCGCCGGTGGCGACAAAGAGGTTGCGCGCCGACGGGTGGTGGCAGACGAGGAAGTCGCCTGTTTGGGTGTCGGTGTACCAGCACAGGCGGGTCTGGACAAAGGGGCGGTCGTGGATGGCGGGGATGGGGACGATGGTGCGGACGGCTTTGCGGAGGGCGGCGACGCCTTCGGCGGGGAATTTGAGGTTGGGGTCGGTGAGGTGGGTTGCGGGGAGGGAGACTGTTGAGGTTGTTGAGGACGGGGTTTGGGGCGACGGGTGGGGGATGGCGGTGGGATTGAGGTAGCCGAAGGCGTGGCGGGCGACTTTGAGTTGTAGGCCTGAGGGGGGGATCATGAAGAGACCGGTGCTGAAGTTGAGGGTGACGGGCATCTTGCGCAGGACCTCGAGCTCGGTCGGGGTGATGTCGATGTAGCCTACGGCCTGGCCTGTGGCGATGGCCTGGCCGGAGAGGTCGACGAGGGCGCCGGTCCAGGCGCCGGCTGCGATGACGACGAGGTCGGCGGAGAGGACGGAGCCGTCTTGGAGGGTTGCGCCTGTGACGGTCGACTTGTCGGGTGTGTAGTTCAGGCGGGTCGCGACGCCCGAGACGAAGGTGACGCGGTTGAGAGCCACGACTTTACGCGCGAGGTAGGACATTGAGGCGCCGGCGTCGGCCCAGCCTGCGAGAGGGTTGATGTAGCCCCATGTGCCGGGGGCCTCGGGGGTGCCGAGGTAGTCCTTGATGGCTGTGGGTGTGGGCAGCTCCTTGATGATCTTGTCGCCGTCCTTGCCTGCCAAGGAGACGACGTTGTTGTAGCTTTCGCGGACGTATTCGAGAGACGTCTTCTTGGCCTTTTGCTTGGCGTCGGCATTGGTCTTTGCTGCCGAAGCGGAGGAGGAGGAGGAAAAGTACGAGGTCGAGGCCGTGGCGACGGGGTCGGCGACGAGGCAGAGGCCGGATTGGCTGTAGCGGCCCTCTGCGCCGAGGTCAGAAGGGTGGGAGGTCTTGCGCCATTCGGTCTGGGCCTCTGCGGCGAGGGTCGCGTAGGCCGGGTCGGCGTAGTCTGCGCGGATGATGCGTGAGGAATCGACGGAGGCGGCGTCCTCGCTGGGGCCGGGGATCGGAGAGCGGTCGAGGACTGTGATCTTTGTTGAGGCGTAGCGGGGGCGCTGGGCGAGCTCGTAAGCTGTGGTCAGGCCGAAGACGCCGGAGCCGATGATGAGAATGGAAGAGGGTGCTGGCTCTGTCGCCGCTGCCGCCGCCGGGTCGGAGGGCATCTTGTGTCTCGTCTGGTGTTGGTGTCTGTGGAGGGGCTATGTCGTGGACGTAGTTTCGTCTGCTATCGGGGCGGGTACCCGGCGCGGGAGCGGGAGAGCAGGGAGATCACACGGGGTAGAGGTACTTTTGGAAACTCTTGAAGCCAAAGGGGCAGGAGAAAAACATTACCTTAAGAAATGCGACGGACAGGATAGGACGAAGAAATAATAGTGCGGGTCGATCTCTAGGAGTGGGAATTGGGCGGTGCGGAAAGCTCACCGCACGCGGCACACGTACGAGGGAAGGGCGTTATCGGAGGTCAAAATTTTTTCTTCCTTTCCTCTGGGGAGTCTGGGCTACGTTATCGAATGGGTGGGAGGTCGGTAGCGTCTCCCGACTCCCGGGGGTAAGGCAGGTCTCGCGTCGACTTGCTCGCTGGAAATGGCGTTGGCGGGGTCAATTCATCGGTGTATCGTAAGTTTTTCCTCACCCCCAGGCGAGGGACAGACCTGGGAGTTATTGAAGTGCGGGCAGCTTGGCGCGGGGCCGACCGGTGCCTTTTTTTCGCCCATTCTCTTCCTTCCCCTGCGAGTCTGCGACTAGGAGTGGGATGGGGGGGAAGTCTGGAGGGGTCATCATGTAAGGTCAATGCCGTTGGTGGGGGTTCCGCTAGTTGGGAATAGTCGGGATCGGTAAGGTTGGTTCGCAGGTTGGCCGACACTTGCATGAAGGGAAAGGTTTGGCGGTGGGTTAGGTGTCGCTGCAGTACGAGACGGACGTGGTCGCGTGGTTTTTTGACTTGAGGAGGCTTGGCTTTTCCGATGTAGGCGGCGGGCGGGTGGATGTGTTGGTTTTGCTTTCGCACAAGATGAAAATGACGCTTGGCGATGGTTGTCCTGCAACTTGTGCAGCAGAGCATTGGTTATCCTGAACTCCCCTCGGCGATGCGCGATGGTTGATGGAAGATTGTCGGCCTCATCCTTGCTGGCAATGTGATGGCGGGAAATGAAATCAGTGCGCTGGGCTTGTCGGGTTGAGCTCAAATAGCCGGCATTGTCCCCCAGCTCAAGTGAGAGGCTGCTTCTTTCCCCGTTATTTGCTTCAGCGGTCGTGGGCTGACGCCCTCGCGTTTTTAGGCACACTTGCGTTGGAAATCCTTCATCGAATAATATCAGGCCCAATGGTCTAGAGGTATGATTCGCCCTTCGGGTATAAAAACCCTTCAGCAAAGCTTGAATGGGCGAGGCCCCGCGTTCGAATCGCGGTTGGGCCCCTGATAACTTTTGTCGTATTTTTGATATTTTTGCCATCTACACGATAATATCGATCTACAATGAATTAAGGTAGGAGAAAGACATCGTTGAATTGCGATGCTCATGGAGAAGGAAGCAAACTTAGGTGAGCAGGCAAATAGCAAACAAAAGTTAGGCACTCCCATCCTTGAGCTGGACCGTGTCAAGCAGGTCCCATGTTTCCACTGTCGGTCGCTATGCATCGCCTGAGCCCATCAAGCACAATACAGCAGGCCCAGTCAGATATCACATCACCACAAGGCTGACTGACTTAATGATGACCGTTGGGCTTCTAAACAAGGAAACGTCGATGTAACCTAGACCATGGCCAGCCCAGCCCAGCCCACCTTACCACCTTACTTACGGCCCTCTGTATAAGACCGTATGAATCCCCTTCCTCTTCCCAACACCCACACCGTGCGGGGTTCATGGTCACATCCCCGCTTTCAGCTGTCCCACGCCGTCTTCCCTGTCTCAAACCACCTCTCACTCACCCAAATCTTCCTTCACAAACAAAATCCCGTCACCCAAAAAAGAGACAACCACATAAAAAGATGGTGAGAATTCGGATCGCCAGTTTATATGAGAGACTATCAATGAGCTGTAGCTAACATGGATTTGACAGGCTGCACAGTTGACTCAAGAGCAAAGGGCGCAGTACAAGGAGGTGTTTGACCTCTTCGTAAGTTCTCACTGACCCCTCCGTCACTCTCTCATGGGCTGCCTCAATGCCCCTCCCCCTTTCCACCTCTCCGTCAGGCTGGCGGCGCATTGTGAGGAGTTTGCGCAATATGCTCTCCAAACCTCAAATCGATCATCTTTACTAACGTATTGTCTGCGCAAAATAGGACAAGGATGGGACAGGTCAGTTTTATATTCTTCCACGAACCCTTTAATTTTTGGTTTGCTTCGCCTCCTTCCATCGACAAAATGGGGGGTCATTGAAACTCGACTTGAACCCTCTTTAGTAGGATGAGCGCGGGAGAGGGGAGTGGCTTAGACCCTTTTTTCCATCTCATCTTGCTCTTTCATTTTGTTTTATACCCTTCCTGTTTTATATGCGATTCCTCTATTGTTTTTCCATCCCATCACGGAAATTGACATTGTCCTTGCAGGTGACATCACTGCCCAGGAGCTTGGCGAGGTGATGAGGTCTCTCGGCCTCAACCCCAGCGACACCGAGTTGAACGACATGGTCAACGAGGTCGACGCCGACAACAATGGCACCATTGACTTCAACGGTGAGATGGACCGCCTCCGCCCTCTCGAGACCACCTTCCTCTGGGATACGTAAGCTGACGAATTCTGACTTTAGAGTTCCTCAACTTGATGGCGCAAAAGGTGCAGGTCGGCGACGCCGAGGAGGAGCTCAAGAACGCTTTCAAGGTGTTTGACCGTGACGGCAGCGGCACCATCTCGGCCGAGGAGCTGCGCCACGTGCTCACCTCCCTGGGCGAGAACATGACTGCGGCGGAGATTGATGAGATGATTCAAATGGCTGACAAGGACGGTGATGGATCAATTGATTGTAAGAGACCTCTCATTTTCCCCCGTTTCTATCTCAACCTCGACATTGGGTGACGTGGTGGTGATGATGCTGACTATGTTTCCTCACAGACGACGAGTTCGCCTCGATCATGATGAGAGAGTAAAAGAAAAGAAGAAAAGGGGGGTTTGTGGATTTCTTGGCGGTGATATCCATCGTTCAGTATTTTGTTTCTTTGGGTTTCGGTCCGATTATGTGGGTAGAGCGAAATCTGCCTAGTTTCTCTTTGGACCTATGGGTTGGTTTCAATATCACGATACTCTCACGATGTGGGATCTTGGAATGATCGACAACGAACAGCTCGTGTCCCTTTTCTGGTTCTCGTGATCAGTCTCCCTTGAGGTATGGCATGCCAGTGGTATTTTCACTGAGCGAAGAAAGCTTATTCCACATGGATGAGGTTAGGCCATGCCGACATCGCGTCGCCATATTACTGAATGTTGTTGAATTCCGGCATCAGTGTTACTTGTGCCTGGCTTAGAACTCACAAGCTACAGCTACGCATTATCATTCCACCAAGAGCTATTGGTCTTACATACCACGATGTGCGGCCTAACCTTTGGAGAGTTGGTAACGACGTTAATCAGCGGTCGGTTTCGCGAATTTTGGGTGGCGTAGCACGTAAGAGGTATTGTCAGAGGATGGATATCAGTCTGCCCCTATCTTTCGTCCTCCCAGTTGACCAGGCTTGCTATTAACGTATAGCTTCGTCGTCCATTGCTCTCTTTCTTTGACTCTATCCGCATCTTCGGCAAATATCGCAGAAGGACCATGGTGCTCATTTGAGCCTATGTTGCCAGAGGGCTGTCTAATCTCGGCTTACGACTTTCGCACATCCAAGCTACATGTATTGGCAGAGGATCCTTTCCGAAAAATGTCTGTTGATCTGCTGCTGGTCCATTTCCGAGGCATCTGAGCAGTCAAGCTATTTGACCAGGAGTATAAATGTCAGCTTTGTATTCCCTTCTGTCCGAGACTTTCGGACAGACACATGTGGCCAGAGGATAAAGAAACTTCTTATTCTTCTGTTCTCGACTCGAGGCTTTTAGGTAGCCAACATCCCTGTTTCGCCAGAAGACGATGAGTGGCTTCTGTTCTTATCTATCTGAACCTTGCTGAAGGATAAGCCTGTTGTTCGTGGTCATCTCGCGTTGAGGTATTCTAGGGCGTATCCTCGCTAAATGCCAAAGAAGGAAGGGCATTGGAGTTCAAGTACAGCTCGTATGGCGAGAGGTCGATATGCCATACGAGTGTGAGAACCCAGGTGCTACCCAGCGACCAGGGCTGGCAAACCTGGCAGCTCTTCAAGCGGTATAAGTTGCGTGACGCGCTGTGTCATTTCATTTACGAGAAACCTTCTCACTGAGGTCAATGACTAGCGTGTCGGTCGCGTCTTGACTAGAATTCCCAGCGAGTCGAACAGCCATCCCTCAGTCCTGGCCCGGTCGTGGAGCAAACTGCCAGAGTGTGAGGCAAGACGTACGACAGAAGTTGCTTCTTTTCATCTGAAGCTGAAAACCAGCAAATTTGCCGCCTCACTTCTGGCCCTGAGGCATCACAAACACCAGGCCCAAAGGGTTGCCAAGCCAGACCGCCCGCCTCACATCTTCCCGTCCACACGTCCGTCCACGAGAAGGGTATATATCCCCCCTCAATTCCATTCCCGTCACCAGCACAGCAGGCGCCCCCTAGGTCGGGGGTCAGGTCAAACTGTGGCGTGGTGGTGGAGTGGTTAATGGTCAACAACTTCGCCAACCAGCCTACTCGACGACAGGCTCAGCGCGTACCCGAGTTCGAATCCCAGCATGAGCACCAAGAGATGTAGTCCCCAGTCCAGCACCGGGGGGGTGAACTCTTGTGTCTTTTTAGATCTTGGAATACTTAGTTATTAGAAAAGAAGGAGATGTAAATACTAATGTGACTTGCTTATACTTAGAGGGCATTTCTATAAAAACTATGTACGCTCAGCACCGTTACATAGTAATAGTGCATTATTCCGTAAGACGAATACCCCGCCGACGAGAGGGCGAACCAAAGCAGACGACGAGAGAGGCTAGAGAGAAGCAATGTGATTAGCGACGTCTTATGTCAGAGGCATAGCCATTGTATGGCTGGAACTGGTTGCAGAGAGGCCAACTCACGCTTTATTGACGACTGAATAACAACTCATCTACCCTGCCAGACTGACTGTGTGGTACGTGTGCCTGCCTTTGAAGTTTTTATCATTTGACGAATCGCCACGCGAGGAGCAATATTTGCGCCGGCGGCTATCCACCCCAAGACAGGCGCAAACTACCATTGTGGCTCTGCTTTAATGGGAACGACCACATCTTGATGTTTTGGTTGATCCCAAAAAGAAGCCGCATGTGGTGGTTCGGTTCTCCACGACCAGACAGCCTGGTCTTGATGAACCAGGAACCCCATGTCCATCCCTTCAAGCTCTTTTACTTCCCCAACAATTTTAGCCCGCCATTTTGGGTCAGGGGAATCGTCCTGGAAACCAATCTGGCCCTCCCAGTTTCCCCAGAGATTCTGGCGCTCGACTTCCCATCTTTGGTATTCACTCCAATGAGTCACCAACATGCGATATTGGAGGCGGAAAGCGTCAAAAATGTTGTAAATGAACTGGAGAGACCAGTTGTCGAAGAACGCGGTTCGTTGATGAAACCTTTCGTAATACTCCATAGCTTCATCTATAGTGTTTATGCGCGGATAGAGATGTTCTCTGCTTGGCGGTGTCGGTCGGCGCTGAGAAGTTGTGTGATACATTAATCTCATCCAGTCGGTGCGTGATAGTAATTCGAATGGGCGTGTGGGACCTCCATGTCCTTCTTTTGGACGTGCCGGGAAAGAACATCGGCCGAGCTGGCTGCGTTCGTGTTGTCGAAATCCACGGCAGGGTCCATCTTGATAAGGTGCGATGCGATGTGTTGAAGACCCTCTCTGTCGGTTGGATGCTGCCACAGGTATAGAGCAAGATGTGTCAGGGAAGGTCTACTGGTATCGGTTAGTATATTTGTTGTCGGAAAGGGCTCGGGGCAGGCATTACGAGACTACTGGGATAAAGAAGGTGATATGATGAAATGTCAAAAGTCAGGTTCTGTCGCTAGGGCATCCTTCTTTTATATCTACGGAAACACCACATCTCCATTAGCTACTGCCTAGATTACATGGTGCACCATGACGTGTCACCCATAGCGGTTCTTCGTGGCTTGAAGCGTCCGTAGAAGCCGCGAACTTAATATCGCATCACATCATGTGAGCAAGTAGACCGCAAGGTGAAGTACACACAAGGTGCGAAGTCAGGAAAGTGTGGCTCAAGATGGGTCAAGCCACATCGAAAAGTGGTAGTGCACAGGGCAGTGCGAGAACATCGCTTCTGTGCTTCCACACAGTGCATACCGCGCTCTGCATAGGTTCACGGGCGCACTTACAGAGCGCTACCTTGGCCTTCTTCTGCAACTTCACGAATACCATCAATTGCGATCCACGACTACGCGCCTCTACCGATCACGGAAAATTCCCATAGACTACGAATATGCGACAAGAAGCTCCACAGCTGTACCGGTAGCGATGTCATCGGCAAAGAACCTTGTCGAATTCCCCGACGTGGAGGCGAAGCTCCAGAAACCGTCCAAGCAATCCGCGTTCGAGAAACAGAGAGCCGAAGCCGAAGCTAAAAAGGCCCGCGAGGCTGCCGAAACCGCTGCAGTATACCAAGACTTTGTAAAGAGTTTCGATCATGATGATGACGACGACCCGAGAACCGGCCGGTTTGGCTCGATGCCCTCACAAAGACCCCAGCCCAAGGTCCCTGGGTTTGGCGGCGTTCCGTTGGGCGCACCCGCACCATCCAAGCGACACTTTGGCGCATCGAATACCAAGAGCGGCCCAGGTAGTCTAGGTCCTACTCCCAGCTTCAAGAGCGGCCCAGGAAGCTTGGGGCCGCCGCCAGGCTCGCTTGGACGGAAGAGAGGCTTCGACGCATACCGACAGGAGAGGGACAGAGATGGCAGGCTCGGGTTCGAGGAAAGGGAGGAACCGACTTCGGTCGCCAAGGTTTTCCACAACAGTGACGATGAGGATGAAGGTAAATCAGACTCGAGAGCCGAGGAAGTTGCAGTGGCCAGACCTACGTTGCGTCTATCTCAGCTGCCGCCTGGAACATCACCTGCTTTCATCAAGTCATTGATCCCGACCAGCCTTAATGTCGAACATGTCAAAATTTTACCACCTATGGGACCTTCAGGCACGGAGAAAAAGTGCGCCGTTGCCATTGTCACACTATCGCCAGACACGCCGGCGACAGATCTGGACGCAGTCGTAAGCTCGCTACAAAATCGCTACTTAGGTTATGGTTGTTACTTGTCGCTGCACCGGCATCTATCCTCGACAGTCGCAACCGCGACGACATCGACGCTGGGTGGCACTTCCGCCGGATCGCAACCTTTTGGTGCCAAGCCCGTGTCCCAGCAGACGGCACCCGGTAATGCGACAACACAGCATGCCTTCCATCGAGGGTTTGCGCCGCCAACCTCGTATGCCCCAAATATTGGTGGAGCAATTAATCGGAGCACTATTCTTCACGTGCCTGTCAAGCCCCCAAACGATGTCAAGATGGTACAACTTATCAACAAGACCATCGAATCGGTTCTCGAGCACGGCGTGGAGTTCGAGGCTTTGCTGATGAGCCGTTCAGAGGTTCAACGGGAGGAAAAATGGGCTTGGATCTGGGACGCTCGCAGTGAAGGAGGTATCTGGTACCGATGGCGCTTATGGGAGATCGTCACAGGAGCGTCTGCTCGGAGCAACAAGGGACGGTATCTACCGCTTTTTGATGGTAGCCACGCCTGGAAAGCTCCAGAGAAAGCTCTGCCGTTCGAGTTCGTCACAGAACTTGATGAGTTCGTATCCGAATCGGAGTATAACTCCTCAGACGACGAGGACTTTGACGGGGAGAACCGCGAGAACCAGACTCAGGGGCCTGAAGCAGAAGCTACCTTCCTGAATCCCCTCGACAAAGCAAAGCTTACCCATCTCTTATCACGCTTGCCTACAACTTTATCGAAAATCCGAAAAGGAGATGTCGCCCGAGTGACAGCTTTCGCGCTCACACATGCAAGCCGGGGTGCCAAAGAGGTCGTCGACATGATCGTCTCGAACGTAGAGAAGCCCTTTGCACTGACGGCGGCCAACTCAGAGTTTCAGTCGAATGGCAAAGAGAAGGGCAGACAAAGGGATGATTCAGAGCCGCCTGAAGCTGAGCCGGAAGAGAAAGCAGAGAAGGAGGGGCCCGACACCAGCGGCGCAAGCCTTGTGGGACTATACATTGTCAGCGACGTGCTATCGGCCTCCTCTAGTAGCGGTATTCAGCGCGCTTGGCGGTATCGACAGATCTTCGAAGGAGCACTCAAAGAGCGCAAGACCTTTGAGGGTCTGGGGCTGATGGCTGAGAAGCTAAACTGGGGCCGACTGCGGGCTGAGAAGTGGAAACGAAGCGTTGGTCTAGTCCTGAGCCTTTGGGAGGGTTGGTGCGTCTTTCCAACGGAGAGCCAGGAACTGTTTACCAAGAGTTTCGAAAGCCCGCCATCTTCAAAGACACAGGAGCAGATTGAAGATGACGCAGCCAAGAAGGGTAGATGGAAGGTGGTTGAGAAGACCTCGATGCCAGCCGCGGATATTGCCTCAACGCGTACCCTTGACCAGAGAGCGCCAGATCCAACAGCTGATAAGGAAGAGGAGGATGTCGAAGGCGAACCAATGGACGAGGAGGATGTTGCCGGTGAACCCATGGAAGAAGACGATGTCATGGGTGAACCAATGAGCGAGGAGGATGTGGAGGGTGAGCCCATGTTGGACGATGATGTCGAGGGGGAGCCGATGGAAGAGGACGCAACCGAAACGGCAAAGGGCCAATCACCATTGGGCGAGGCCGGCAGCAAGGTAGAAACAGCACCAGAGACGGCGGAGACTGACGACACACATACGGCCGGACGTTTGCAATTCTCAACCCAGCCAAAGGGACAGCCTCGGAAACGGATGAGAGCAGTGGACATGTTTGCTGACTCTGGGGATTCGGATGAGGGCAACTAGCCGCGCGTGGCGAGATGCGGGCGCTGGTTCTTGAAGTAGGCCAAGACGACACCAGGGGCGAGGCGGCGGGCTTGGGACGATGGATAAAAACCGATCGCCCTATGAAGATTCAGGGTTATCTGAAGAATAGTATTGTAAACGCATGTGTCTTGACTGGGCCGTGAGCGGGACGGGGTATATGTGGGAGGGATATGGCAGCCGTCCTGCAGAGGACGACGGGGCGGCGTCCAAGTTTGGGCTGCCCGGTGCCGTTTAGAGAGAGCGCGGCATGGCGATGCATAAAGGGTGATGAGCAGACAGGTCCATACGGATAAATGAACGGGACGAGATGTGACGGCATAAGTGAAGAGTCAGGTTGGTGGGTTTACCAACGCACCCATGAGAGCCGTCTACGTATTATACAGGTCTCTTTCTCTCGCCTAAGCAAAGATATCCAACCCAACGGAAAGTTAGGGTAGAGAGAGAGAGAGACGAAGCCGTCTCAATACCAACAACACATCAAAGCTACCTCCAATGCCGGCGCAATGCGGTTATATCACAAGTTCCCACGTAGACACACCTCGGGGTACATTTTCCTGGCCGACTTTTTGCAAGCGCTACGCCTGCACAGCCATGGATACGCATTCTTCGTAGGGAATGGTTTCTTGTTGGTAGAGGGAAGGGGGGTGGTGCCAGTCATTCGCAACGACCGGTCGTTCTGCTCGTTGTGAATTTTTGGGTGGTGCTGCCCGGATCCGGCCAATCAAAACTTGCTCACTTCCCTTGCCTCTCGAGCCTCTGACGGTGGAGAAGGTATGTAGTCGGATTTTTTATTTGCTCGCTCCTACCCTCCTTACGGTGACGACGGTCTTTCTCGCCTTTTTTTATTTTAATTTTATTCCCCACGCTTGAGTTTCCTGATCCAGAGAGTTTGACCGTGGGAAATGCATTCTTTATATGGGTTTGATTCGTAGGACACCCTCGGAATGCTTGAGGTTGAGCATTGAGCATTCGGAACCTGGGCGCGATATCTGTGGGCGGCTATGGACGACTAACACGGGGATGATGGGGGAAACCACTTCACTGGGACTGTGAAGGCTTGTGACGACACACGACAATGAGATCAAGTCCGACAGGGATGGCGCATAGAGATATCCGATTTATTACGCAGTAAAGAAGAGGTTCTACGTACCGACTTCCGAATTTTGTTAGGTAACCTGATTCCCGGCCTGAAGCCTGGATGGAGACCATGAGTCTGAGTCTGGGCCGACCGCGGACTCGGCACCGACTCGCGGGAGTGAGAGGAGGAGCCAGTTAGATGGTCGGCCGTGATGTGTGAGCCAGTGAGATGGAGAGTGCGTGTGAGCGCGTGTGTGTGTGGTCGCACAGGATTATCGGAGTCTGGACCCTTGACTTTCTCTTTATAGTTCCTTTGATGATGGAGTTTCTCATGTCAAGATGCAAGAATGGCAAGAAGAAGAAATATGACCGAGAATGCCTGTTTCCCACCTACCTTCCCACTACCTCGGTGGTCTGTCACCGTGTGCGGACAACAAGATTGGAGATATTTGTTAGGTAGCCACGGTGGGTGAGAAAACGGGAACTCGGTACTAAACGGCGATCCAGAGTTAGCTTCTTATCGAGTTGGGCAGCGTATCCCGGCAGAGAAGAAGGAGCAGCGCGGCTTATGCTGTAGCCGGAGCTTTCTCTCTAGTCAGCCACATCTCTCTCACATCTCTCTCCCTTCCTCGATGCGACATGCCTTGAGTTGGCTATTGGGTAGTATATCTAGCATCTCACAGTAAAGCACCCGCCGCCGGTGAGGGAAATAGACGCTCGGGACGCTTCTGCGGCGAACGCCATCTCAACGTGGGAAGCGCGCCGCCTTCCAGCCCAAAGAGTACGGGCTTTACGGGCTGAGGTCAAGTCCCAACCGCGCTCCGGCTTACCATTCTGAGCACCACGCAGCAGAGGTGAGTTGCTAGTACTGCTGGGTTGGCCCTGCTATTCTGTTGGATAACGTGCCTTAGAGTTGGTTAGAAAGTTGCCGTCAAAAAAAGCTTGCTCCGAACACAGAGTGAGAGAGTGAGAGATAACGAGAAAGGATCATTTGGGGTCATCTCATGTTCAACTCATATAAGGCATTGAAGCAGGCTGTGAGAGAGAATTTGATGTGTGAGCTCGGATTGTAAGACGAGGTTGAGGTGGCATAGCCGGAAAGGGTATCTCTATGTGTGTACTTGTCCCTTGGGCTTAGGTAGACGGACAGACATGGCATGCCGTCTGTGATGAGAGCTGCAGACAGACCCCTCCTCTCGCCCAGGCTTTCATCACACGTTCTCAGGTAAGCATGCTCGTCAGTACGCAGTAGGCACTGAGTATTCAATCTCTGTACTTTTGAAGATTATCTCTGCCATCTCTCGTGTATGTACTGTGGTAGAATAGGGTATCCGAACAAGGCGGAAAGAGAAAGCAGGCGGCGGACAGCAAGGCATGTAATAAACCCCCGCACGTGGGGCTGTTTCGATGCGCTACCGGGATCCTCAACTGGCTCGCTCACCCCCCCTCCCGCCCGCCGCGCCCCATCCATTGTCCACACCCACCGTCGACGCCGCTGTTGCTCGTGCTTCTCCTGGGCGTCCCTCTTGCCGCTGCTGGGGGCTCGGAACTGGTACTCACAGTCTCATACCTACTGAGGTGGGCTGGACTACCTTGGACGATGCCAAGGACCAAGGTAGGACATCGAGCATAGGGGCCGCTAGTGCTGGTAAGGGACCCAGAGCTACCCGAGAGGAGGCAAGTGCCTTTACGCAGTAATTAAGGTAGGTAGGTACCCAAGGTACTCCGTAGGTTGGGAGTTGTGACTCTTGCTGGAGTCGGATCGGGGGAAGGAGCGAGGAAGAGGAGGGAGGAAGGGACCTGCCTTGACTGCTTCCAAGTCAAGTTACCTTACCTAAACTCTTAGGTACTCGACTCGAGCAGGTGCTGCTGGTGTTGTTCCTTCCTCAGTCACTGTGGACTATCCGTACAGGCCATACCCCGTCTCCTCCGACGTCCTCCCCCCCCCCCCCCAAACAGTCCACTGGGGCCGTTTCCTGTTCCCACGGTCGCTGTTTCTGCGCTCTGCCACCACCTCATCCCTCCACCTCACACTAGGTACCTTACCACCTCACTTACTACCACTACCAGGGCGGGCAGGTAGAGGTAGCAACGATTCCACTGCTTTGCCGACCCGGCGGTTCTCTCTGAATCTGCTTTCCTTCAATACCCAGAAACCCGCCCTTACGTCCCCGGCCCCTTTGCGCGCAGCTTTAAACCTCTTCACGCTCGAAACGCCGCTCGTTTCTCTCGCCAATCTCCAGCTCCTCCCAATCCCGCATTCCTCACCTCGACATCGTTACCGAATTGCTTCGCGCTGCAAGCCCGACGACCAGTTATACCGCCGCCGTCCGTTCAACCATCACATGGCCACTCTTGCCCGCTGAGCCGATTTTACCCAACATTGCCGGGTACATAGCTCGCTTGCTTGCGTCGCAAAAAGCCCAGCAGTGGCCACGAGCCAAACGACGACCAGAACCAGAACCGAGACTCGACGACCGCCGCCGCCGCACCTTGAGAGCTGACTCCCGCCTTCATGTTCCACGCCGCCGCTCACTCCCACCGTCCGAGGTCTTTTGGGGTCGACGCCTAAGCGAGCGACATTCATCGCAGCTTTTCAGTTTTGCAATTACTTTTTTGAGAAACCGGCAGACTCTATCGCAATTTGGATAATCGCCAAGTTTTCTTTCGCCCTCACGTATCACAGCAACCTTGAGGGCTACCCCCACCACAGCCCACCATGCCGCTCATCAACGGCCAGAAGATGGCTTGGTAAGTCGCAACGTCCTCTTTCTTGCGTCCCAGTCCTCCGACGTCACTCCTTCTTTTCGCTTCTTCTTCGTATTTACCCTCGTCTACCACGAGACTCGCGACTCCTGTATCCATCGTTGAAACCCCGCATCCTGCTTCCTAATGGAACCTGAGCTGACGATTTCTCTTTCCGCCCTTCAGCGAGCCATGCATCCGTGGTCACCGCTCCACCAAATGCACCCATGCGAATGAACGTTTGATGGTCCCTGTTCGAAAGCCCGGCAGACCTTTGAGCACTTGTCCTCATCCCCCCGCCCGCGGTTGCGGCTGTGGTAGTGTAACGGCCGCCATCCCGAGGAAGCAGAAATGCGGCTGCGGTTCCAGCAACGCCGGAACGCCCGCAGAGTCACCCAGTGTCATCAAGGCAGAATCGCCTGCGAGCGACGCCCCGCCAATGTCTCCGACCAAGGCATCCGCTGCCTCCTTTCGCATCCAAAAATCCGCCCCCAAGGCGGCCAGTCGCAAGCAGTCGTTCGATCCCGTGAACCTCGAGAGGATGGATGCCGCTAATATCAACATATTGCCGCCCTACGACATGGCTCAAGCAAATCACATGCCACACGCCAACGGCGGCATGCCGGGCATGCCCACACCGAGAAACGGGATGGAATATGGCGGTATGACCATGATGGGCGGTGTTAACGGCGGGTTTCATCAACCCATCATGTATCCAATGTTCCCACAGCAGATGCCCGCGCCCATGTTTCCCCCGGGACCCGCCATGTCGATGCCTCAGCCGAATGCCGTGTCACCACCCGTCAATACACCACAAACTGCGACAACGCCCGTTCCGATGGCAGCGTCGAATGGGGGATCTTGTTGCTCAGGAAAAGCCAACGGGACGCCGAAGCCCGCCCCTCCGCCCTCGCTGACGAGCACCAGCACGGGTGGTTCATGTTGCTCAGGGCCGAGCAAAGCCGAGGGGAACTCAACACAGCCTTCTAGTGTCAGCTCGAGCCCCAAGACGCAAGCGAAGCCAAAGACGGGTGGCTGTTGCTCTAGCAAGGCGCCTGCAATAGACACAAATGTACACCATTTGTCGAACGGTCACATGTCGCCGTCGAGCGCCATAGCCATGTCACCTTTCCAGACACCTACCGCCATGCCCCAGGGCATGTTCAACTCGTACTTTCAACCTACAATTTTCACATACCCGCCTCAATACGGATCTTGGATGTCACCGCTGCAGCCTGCTCAGTGGAAGCAGCAGATGGAGGCGCAGCAGTATGGACAGCCAATTCCGCAGCCGGCCGCGTACGGCATGCCGAACTCGCTCTTTGCCCCAGATGGCACAACTCCGATGATGCCCGAATCAACATCACACATGTGTAGCTGTGGCGACGGCTGCCAGTGCGTGGGCTGCGCGGCTCACCCTTACAACGATGCGACGCAAGACTACGTGCGATCCGCATACACCAGCATGCTGGACGACTCTTACGGAATGACGAATGGCACGAACGGCACGAATGGGCACTCGGAGACGGCGACGACCAACGGGACTGGCGCCCGTGGAATCGATGTACACACGAACGGCGAAAATGGCGGTTCTCCTGCTGGTCCGCAAACACCTTCCGATGCAGCCTCAGTGTTGAGTGAAGAGCAGGCACTGTCGGCGAACGACTTCTTCTTCGTGACATATCCGTTCAACGGTGACGGATGCGCTGGCGAGACGTCCTCATGCCCATGCGGCGACGATTGTCAGTGCCTCGGCTGTTCGATACATAACAATTCGCCCATACCCGAGTCAGGATGAGGGGTGCTCGGGTGTGTCGAGCTGGGGTCCGTAGAGGATTAGGTTTTGCGGGATGTTTTACCCTCGACGATGGATAGGAGGGAGTCTTTTACAAGGTCGGCAATGTTCAGCCGTTTCTCGATTTGCATATGCGGTGTTTGGAACGATACCCTCTACTAGCCGCATCGTAATACTGAAATAACAAGTATTTGCTCACAGAACGTTTGACTCGGTGATTGAATTCGAATTAGTAACTATTAAAGCCTTGCCTCGAGTACCTTGCACAGTGAAGCTAATGATGAGTCGGGAGTATCTGGTCTGAGAGAGTCCCGAACCGCCAGGCGATAAGCCCCGGGTTAATTGCCGTAATCTAAGCAATGTTTTCGGAGTGGTCGTAGGCAGGTGAGGGGGAGTCGGCACGGTATGTGCCTGCCGGCGCCGAAATTGGGGTACCCACTGCTCCGGTCCCCAGCCACGCCGCGAGACCATGGAAGTCTCCAATATTTTTCTTACCGTCAGTAGGCACGGACGTTGGCCTCTCGCCCAACAACATCACCGCAAACGACCAACCTTCAACCTACGTTGAAATCCAGCGTCATCTCAATTTTTCACATCTCGAGGCTCACGCGTGTCCGTTATCTGCATTCAAAGAATTCATCTTTACCGACCAGCTCCATTCGGCATCCTCCGAACGTTTCCCACACCTTTCCTTTGGGGGTGCGCAGGCCAATTCGGCTGATCGGCTTCACCGTCGCGGCAGACTGTCGACGCCTGAAACTGTGGTCAAACAAAGAGACGGCACGATTCGACGTTCGACCTGAGATCCTTACTCCACACACCCACCAATTTTCGACTTCTCTTGTCGAGGAAGGAAACGCCATCCTTGTCCAAGGATATCTGACGTTGCGACCTTGCTTGTCACATTTCTGGGGGTGAACCCAAGCGAGAGTGAAAAGCTTGTTTTCTGAGGATCTCTTGAAGGACGTTGTCGCAAACAGACAAGGAGGGGTTCTTGTGTGCGTTGAACGAGGGTCTTATCGTGTATCTTTCATCTCAATCTCATCCGAACTTGGCTCATCCTTGCTTCGGGGTGGCACTTCACTTCATTGGACGTCATTCACCTCTCCTCTGAACCATGGCCGGAGACGATGAACGCTCGGGTGAGTGGAGGGGCGAAGAGCGGAGGTATGGACGGACCCGCTCTCGGTCGAGATCGAGATCGCCGAGGCGGCACCGGGATGAAGTGAGGCGGAGGTCGCCCGTCGGCGAGGGCGGTTCGCGTCGGGAGCGGAGGGCGAGATCGCCTCGTGGAGACGGTGGCGGCCGCGACGACGATCCGGAGGATCGGGATTCGAGACACAGGCATCGACGGCATCATCACCATCATCGACGGCACCGGGATAGTCCTCGTGATACTGCCGGCGGCACTGCTTCGAAAGAGAAGAAGGCGACGGCGGCGGTCTCGTTACCTTACGAGGCGCGGCAGCTGGGCAAGTCGGAGATGGAGGTGTTTCGGCCGCTGTTGGCGTATTATCTCGATTTGCAGAAGCAAAAGGACATTCGCGAGATGGACGAGAGGGAGGTTAGAGGTCGGTGGAAGAGTTTCGTGGGGAAGTGGAATCGCGGGGAGCTGTCGCAGGGGTGGTATGATCCCGAGATGTTTGTTTCTGCCAAGGAGAGGGCTTTGGAGGTTGGGATTGAGGGGGTTCCTTCGCGGAGGGATGGGGGTCAAGGGCGGGAGGTGGTGGGGAGAAGTGAGGAGAGGGAGTATGGCGGGGAGAGGACTGATGAAGAGGAGGAGGAGAATCGTCACCATGGTGAGAATGACGACGACGACGACGACGACGACGACGATGATGGTCTTGGACCGAGGTTACCGCCCACCTCGCGCGGCACCGGCCAGCGTTCCGGCCCCGGGATCCCCAACATGGCAGACCTCTCCCTCCAACGCGAGACCCTCGCCGAAGACGCGGCGCGCGACCGCTCAGCGGCGGTCACGGATCTCCGACAGGCGCGCAAGGAGGACAGGAAGCTGCAGCGGGAGAGGTTGGACGACGTAGCCCCGCGCGCGGAGGCGGGGACGCGGGAGCGGCAGCTCGAGAAGAGGGCGGCCGTGAATGAAAAGATGAAGGAGTTTCGCGAGAAAGGGTTGGGTGGGGATGGAGGGACGGCGGAGGTGGGCGAGCAGGAGCTCATGGGTGGCGGGGATAGTTTTGCCGAGTTGAAGGCTATGAAGGCGAGGGAGGAGAGAAAGAAGACGGAGCGGGAGGTTCGGAGGGAGGAGATTGCGAGGGCGAGGGCTGTTGAGCGGGAGGAGAGGGTTAGGGAGTATCGGGAGCGGGAGGAGGGGGTAATGAAGGGGTTGAGGGAGTTGGCGAAGCAGAGGTTTGGGTGAGAGGGGGGGATGTGAGTGAGGAAAGGGGGACGAGATTGATTTATAGGAGGAGGGCAGGAGGTTATCACGCCCTAGGTTCCAGGTTTGAAAGATTATTAGTATATCAACCGCTGGCAGATAGCAGAATGTATACCGTCATTCTTTGTTTCTAGGACTTGACTCGCAGTTTGCTGAAGGGGGTCTTCACGTGAGTTGAGAGAAAGGGAGGCAGGAGCTTATCACACCCTGGTTCTAAGTCCTGAGCTGGTAGATTGCTGGTATATAAAGCCGTTGATACCTTAGGTAGCAGGACGAACGCACCAATTCTTTGTTCCGAGGACTTATCGGGGAGATGTCTGGGCTGTGAAAGTTGGCTTCACATGAGTATAAGACTTCAGTGGAGAGATGGTAGGTAAAAAGTAGAAACAGGTCGATAAAGATCATCTTTGAAGAAATTTAACCTCCTTCGCTGGCTTGTCACGTTCGTCTTACTCGTTTGAACGATGTGTTACGAACACGCACGGGTTGCTGGATAGTGACGGGAGTTGCTTGATTTTTTTGAGTAAGTCTCCTGAATGAATATGCTTTTGGTAATGTGAATGTAGGGTGCCTTGATAGTAAAATGAGTTCCTTGACGTGAATATGATTCTCTTGAACTCGGCCAACTTAGACAAATGCGCGCCCTTTCAATTGATACGAGCCCCTTAGATGAACTTGGCGATTTAAAAGGAAGATGGGCAAGCTTACCTCTAGCAAGAGAACGGCACCTGCCAGCTCTCGAAGCCATGTCATGACCTATGGAATTGAGATAGCTCATATCAGGGGCATTAAAAGGTCAACAATTCACATAACATGATCTCAAAGGTTGAGATGACCATCTCAAAGACCTTGACGCGGGAGAAACCCCCCTCTCCTTGACCGAAGCCTGTGATAGCATCGATATCAACCCCCAGATAACGAATCCCCCCAATAACTCAATTAGCCATGGTTGTAAATATCCCCTTCCAGCTGAGGTCTACGAGAGATAGGAAGCCGGGCACCTTCCAATTGCTGAGATGCTTTCCCGGGGGTGAAGAATTGCAGTCTTACCCCGTACCTTCCCCCCTCCTCCCTCCTGCCCTCCTGCCCTCCTTCATCCGAAGAACCTGGAAGACTACCTACCATCTTACTACTCAAGACACCTATTCACCTCCTCCTATCACCAGCACTCCCGGTCGATTTGGCTGAGTGGTTTCGACTCTGACGCAGAGTCGCATCAAAACAAATACTCCAATGAGGCCAGTGCTGGTCCGAGGGGCGCGCTGTTCAATTCAGGGCGGGGGCGTGAATTCTCCAGTAAGTTATCACTAGCCCTCCTTTCCTTTCCTTTTTTTTTTCCAGAAAAGAAAAAAAAGATTTATTTCTATGCCTTCTCCATGATTTCATCCTCAGTAGGGGATCTTTTTGATATCCATTCCATTCGTACCCCCATTCTTTTTGTTTATCCCAGTCAAGATATGCCCACCCAGTTCTTTCCTCATGTTCATTTCTCATCGAATCCAACTTGCCCATGGCTCAGATATCACCATGCCGCAAGGCATCAAGTAGTACTTTCCCTTTCATATCCGCTATCACCAACGCCCTCATGCCTTGCCCTCCTCCAGCAACTCCTTCGGCCATCGCACCTCAAACCCGCTCACCGTCTTCTGAATCTCCAAATCACCCGGGTCCCCATCAAACAGCGGCTTCTCCATCTTCTTCTCAAACACCTGCTCGACAAGAAATCCCCTCTCTCTCACGACATCAAAGAACGCCAAATCCTTGTGTCTCAACCACGGCCGGTACGACGTGAAAAACACATAAGCCACGCTCCCCTCCTTCCTCGCCAGCGCATCCCAGATCGTGTCGGCGAGCTTCCCGTGCTCAGAGTGCCGGAACAGCAGATCTGCCAACACCAGCACGTCAAACTTTCTCCCCTCCTCCTTCTTCTCTTCTCCCTCGGTTGAAGTCTTAACAATCTCCGCCAGCAAAGGCTTCACATCCGCGCCCCAAACATACCCCTTGGGCACTACAACCCCCTCCAAATCCCCCGCCTCATCCACATTCTTCTGCATCGTCATGACGATATCCACATCCGGAAAATCCGAAACAACGACGCGCTCTGCACCGAGAATCCCCGCCGTCAAACTCGGCAAGCCCGCTCCCGCGCCGAGCTCCAGCACCGTCTTGCCCTGTACGCGTGAGGGTTCCGCTTCAAAATAGTCCGAGACGACGCGGCTTCCGTTCCAGAGGTGGTGCGCTTCGGTGGGTGAGTAGCCGACGAGGTGGAGGGTGAGGACGCGGCCCGAGGCGAGGGTGTGGGTTTGGAAGGTTGGTGGCGGGGTGGGCGGGTAGTAGTCCTCCGGGTCGGCGAAGAGGTCGCCTGTGCCTGTGTCGCCGTCGGCGACGTCGCTGGATGGGCTCATTGTGAGAAGTGTGTGTCGTTTGTGTGATGGGTTGTTGGTGTGGGTGGCGGTGTATCACAAGCAGGGACTGAGGGGTTGGATTTTTGATACCCTGAATGAGGGGCAGATTCGAGTGAGAGAGACCCTGAGATGAGCTGGCTGCGTTGTCTCGTTGTGAGAGCTGGGGAACTATGCGATAAGCTTCTCTGTAGGAGACTGCTTTCTTACTGAGTAGATCTGTCTGGAGCGTCAGTCAGGATTGGGCATGAGTGAAGGTGAGATCAACTTACTTCGATGAATGCGGGGTGTAGAGGGGTGAGTCGCGAATGAGTCGCAATTTTCGATGTCTTTTTTTTTTTCTCTTGCGACGAAGTAGATGTGGGTACAGTGTGAGATCGTCGTCAAATTCCCACTAAGAGATGGCAATATTGGTGGCCTTCACCACAGTGTGAAGCAGGCGCTGGCACCTCATTTTTCGAGTCTACTTCCAACACTTCGTTTCAGTAGATTGACCAATCTGTAGAGCTGAAGGACACTCAGTAGAGCTTTCCGAGAGCAACTAAATCCCATTGCCAATCATTTTATGTCGGTTGAATAGTCCCATGGGGAGGTGTTTGAATCTTTCCAAATGTGCCGGAGACTCTTATGTAGGGACAACGGCCCATTTCACTTATGTCTCTATTCCCTTCCCTGTGTGGCACGTACGAGCCTTTCAGGAGAAAGGAAAAGAGATACTCAGGCGACACCTCGAGTTTGCTCTCCTTCGATCAGAAAATGAACGAAGAAAAAGGCCCCTCACGTGATTCTTCTTTGAGCGATAGGACTCATGGTGTCGACCTACTCACCTAACATGTCACTGGTCTCCCAGGCATACCCGATATAAGGACACGCACCAGAGGCACCCGGCATATCTCGAGCAAGGGCAGCATACATGCTGCTGATGCTGGACTCTGGGACTCGAGGCTGGACAGACACAGATGCGGTTAAGCTTGCGCTGCGAAGCTGCCTGGGTGTTCACATCCACTCGACTCACCCGACTTCTAGTAGAAAGAGACCAAAGAGACCTCAATCAAAGAATGCCCCTTCTAATGCTTATTACCCAGCGATCCATACTCGTTCGTCACGTATAGTGCAGATGAGCGTAATGACAGGCTAGTGAGCATGTTCCCAATGAGATGAAAACTGAGCTCTCCCATGAAGCAGCTCTGTTCTGCTCGCTCTCTAAGGGCCAAAGGCTGCCTCGGATACGTCCTTGTAAATACGAGTTTAACAGCAGCCCAGCTAGGTTCAAGAGAATACCGGCTGAGTCCGAGTTAGTAGAAGGATACTATCGGCATCAAAAAGCCTCAAGTGAAAAGGCTCGATGCGAACGACCTCCTTTCAGTAAAATATGCAATGGCACAAAGGCAATCCAAGCTCGCCTCCTTCAGGATTTACTTCCACTGCTCAGCGACCCGCACATGTTCGTTGGAGATCGTATAAAAGGACGTGATAGGAATACCGGGTATATATCTCTAAGCTTTGTAATGGGTTGTGCCCTTGTCGGTATCTTGGTACGAAAGGGAACCATGAATGCCGGGAATAGTCAAGGCGAACACCTGTGATGCGGATTCTTCAGTCTCCAGCTCCACCAGAAATGTCTTGAAGAAAAGCTTTATGCCATGGCACCCGACCGCGTTTTTACACACAGGATCCAGTGCAAACACGTGCTCTCGATAACGCAAGTAATCGATTTGCCTGATTTAACAAGGCAGATGCTGTAGCATAGACGTCAATACAAGTTCCAGCTCGATTTACATAGGCACCTTCTAGCTCCTGACTACCAACTCGACTCAGCCATTCTTGACCTCCAACCCCTTCAAGGCCGACAGCTAAGGTGCTGATAGCGAGCCGAGGACCGAGGATACCAGTCAGTCATGAAGACGGGAGGCTATGAAAAGAGACTTCATGGGCAAGAGACAGCAAACGTACGTTGACATGTACCCAGCAGGCAGCCAAGCTCTCGGTCAAATCGCAGATGTCGCTTTTTGAGTTCGAGACAGTAAATGCGAACACTTGATAGAGAAGTCTATATCCTATATATTCCCATCCGAGTGTTGGTACTGATTTAGATTATGTGACTTCTATAGTCCATCACTATGCTACTATCGAAAAGCTATCTAATAAATCTCCAAAGCTGTTCCTCAAAAAAAGGAAGGCTGCCAACCGCAACTGAGCCAGAGTTGGTGCTGACTAGATATAGCCGAGTTTCAATAATGCGTACTGCGCCCGGCTACTGGACTGGATCATTTAGAGCCCGCAAGGAGCAGACATGTCGCCAAGCTTGGGATCTTTCTCTTTCAGCAGCTTCTTGAATGCATCAAGCTCCTGGTCCCGCTTATACATACGTCACGCACAACCAATCTTCGTTAAGCTCGCGGTGCGCCCTCTGAAAGCTTGTCGTTGTATCGGTCATAGACCTCACTGGTCACCTTGGCCACACGAATCGCGAGATTGGTGACGGCCACGTTGGATAGAGCAGTGTAGTAGATATGACTAAGGATGTACTGTCCTTCTGGGAAGGGAGGATTTGATGGCGATGGGCCACTGGTACGGCGTGTTCCCTTCTAGACCTGTACGTATTAGCTTCCGAATAGGTCGATGAGGGCAAAGGGATACATGTATGGTCATACGGGGAACGGCTTCAGGTGACTGTTTGGTATGAGGAAGGAATACGGTCACCTACACCCTTCCTACTCGCTCGACTAATGCACGAATGTCACAAAGAATCGCCCATTTCTTGGACCTTTGCACCCAAGTCGGAAAGGAAGAAGTTGTCACCATCAAACTCTGCTAGCGAGGACGAAGAGCAGGACGAGGTCATCAGGACGCAGAACCAAGACCTGCCTCAGGACGAGAAGATCTCAGAATGACAAGCAATCTAAGAATGACTCCACAGACCTCACCGAAGTGCACCAACCGGTACCTCAACTGACGGCTGATCAGGTCTGGGCTATGAATGAGCAATGGAACAGAAAGCAATAAGCCTAACACCATCAAACCCAGCCGCAACATCAGGGAATGAATATGACCCGACAACGCAAAGCGTGAGGCCCACCGATACTTTTGGTTTTTAAAAGCCACTGCAGCGTTTACATTTTGACGAAGAGTGACAGACTGCACGGTAGACTTATCATCGCTTTCAACAATTAGTAAGATAGCTCATACGCCAGCCAAGTTGACGAAAAATGAAGATTACAGAATCTGCTCTATAACGTTCGTTGTCATGGATATCTCTCCATAGAATCAGCATGTATTTAGCCTATGCCATAAGCGTTGATAACGAGCCACACATCAATAAACAACCACTGCAGAGTGATCTCAGCAGCCTTGGCGTTGGAGAAAGCCATGTCACGACGGAACGTCCGCCGATTATCGGGATCTCGACAGTCATGATGGAGGGGTCCATCCAGCACATAAAGCTTCGTTGATGGACCGGTTGGGAGGGTTGCATCTCCCGGCACTTGCGGGCATGTCGGGCGGGTTTAAACATTTCGGGAGTCCAAGCGAACGGGTCAGCCAAGACGAACCATGGTCTCAGGGAGCCCCGAGCTTGAACCTTTGATCACTGCGCTCTATCGTTCTGGATAGCTCAATGTTTGTTAGTGTTTCGAGAGATGATGGGGGTGTTGAAATCTTTGCTTTCTGAGGGAGCCTATTCAGACGTCGGTCTTTGTCCCGCGTCCGAGTCTTTGGTTCGCTGTTCCGCGCGTCGAGACCATATCGATTTGGTTAGCCGTGTAGCTTCCCGGATCAGAACGGGAAGACCTTGAGATAGGCTGTAGGTGGCAGGGGAGTGCTTATGCAAGACTCTAGCAGAGTTCTTGATGGAAAACCTTGATCCGCCGGCAAGTTGGATAGCAGCTTCAGGCGCGATAGAGTCCCAAGGCCCAAGGTCCATCGTCCAAGGGGGAGCTCCCGGCCGGAGTGGACACGAATTCGGAATGGAGGGGATGCAAGAAGGAGATGGAGCTTAGCTGGTTTTGACACATTGGCGCCGAGGTTCTCCTCCCCCGCCGGACGTTGAGGAACCTTTGGTTGGGGTCGTGGATGCCGGGGGATTACAGAGCGACGTGGGGTGGACGGGGAGAAGCAAGGCAGGGGATGTCGAGGAGCAGAGTTTCGAGTACGGATACGGGGTTACTATACGTTATACAGAGTCAGATATGGCAATGCATCCTTATGAAGCATAAAGGCTGAAGACAAAGGCTCTGTCCACCGAGATGGAGGCCGGTGAGGTTGCCCTGGTCGAAGGTGCTGTCGTGTAAACGAGGGAGCGATGGGAAACATTGAAATGGGGAAGGACAATCCGGCGATTGTGGGGCGGTTGACAAGAGCATGGGGCAGGAAGGAGCATGGAGTATAGGAGCACAGACCTTGTCACCAGTGGGCCTATTGCCTTACCCCACACTTTGCACCTTCCAGGGCAGGTTGATGGGGGACACAGGCGGAGCAGGTGCGTTCGCTGCACTTGCCTGCTGCAGCTTCCTCCTTCCATGGATTACTAAGGACGGAAAGTTAAGACTCAAAAGACACTGAACCTGGAAGTTCTGAACCGTACGAATACTCCGTACCTACCTTACGTACCTCCCTAAGAATGTTAAGGTACCTTGGCTTGAGGGAAGGTGCCTGAGGTGACTTCTACTTGCCTCCTCCTCCTCCGCACTGGATGCTTCCCCCCAATGGAGCTTGGCTCCCTTCCCGAGCTTTCACCCATTCCCACCTCCCACACCACCCTCTTCTCCCCTCTCCCGTCATGGCCTAGGTACATATTTCACCACACGCACAACAACAAAACTGGAACCCTCCGCCGAGTTCCCTTTGCCTACCTACTGCAAGCTGCAGCCATCGGGAAATTTCTCAACTGCAAGGTAGCTTGGAGATGGGATGTCACGCTCATGGAAGGGTCTCCAATACGAATGGGTCCCCGAAAATTCGATGCAATTTCCCGCCAGACAGAAGGCCCCCTTCGAAATCGAGAGGAAGAGACTTGGACGAAGCAGAGAGAGGGGGGAGGGGCAGCCTGGTCAAGTGAGCCACCGGCGTATCGGCCGGATGCTTGCCGGGCCTCCCTCAGAAGAGAGAAACAATAATTCACGAGAACGACAAGAAGCATGAGGGAACTGACGGATATACCCTTCCTCTTCCCAAGGTCCAGAATGGGCTGACAGGGTTCAGCATGATGGATCGACTGAGCACACACTAAGGTACGGACACACATCCAGACATGCCCCAGGCACGGAGTATGGTTTGTTCTGTCGTTCTTGGGGTAATTATCAGAGG